TAAACATGCTAAACGAACATAAACGAACAAAGATAAACAAACATATATGAACATATAATATAGTAATGTAATCAAACACAATTAAACATATATGAAGATAAAAGAAACTTACATGAACGAACATAAACAAACGTAAATGAACAACATAAACGAACGAGCTATTGTTTATGTTCGTTCGTTTAACTAAACGAACGTGAATTTATATTAATGTTCGTTCATTTATTAAATAAACGAACATAAAATAACTTCTCGGTTCACGAACAATTCGTTGAGCGTTCAGTTCGTTTACAATATTACTACTTCTTGAATGTGCATGGGGAAAAACCACCCGATCGAAAAAATCCGGAGAAGAAGTGAAAAGAGGATGGAGATTGAAGCAAAACTAAAATGGAAATAACTTCAATCAATTTCTCCGACGTTCCCTTCCTTTTAAAGGATGTTCCGATGAAGAGGGATTAATAAAAGAAATAATAAAAAGTTGTTAATTTAGTCTAGTTTTTGTATATTTATTTTTTAGTGTGGAAACATGGGTCGTAATCAATATTACTGTTATTTGGTAAATAGTTTTTCAAATACAATCAAAGGGTAATTATTTTTCATGGATGCCATATTTAGGTTAGGAACTGAGCAAATAAGTATCTTGTTATCTTGAAGCATCCACGTAAACAACTTAACATCCATGCACGTGACCTTAAGCTCATAAACACCTCATAAATCCACCTTGCCACTCACGGCACAACCAAACAAAACCCACGTCACAGTTTCCTTTTTAATGTTATTTTGTGGATAAATTTCATTATCATGCAGACATGCACCTGACATGTCCCTATCTAATCGCCATCCTACAAATCCCTTCAATTCTGACGTGCAAAAATTTGACTCCCACCACCTTTTCCGGTTAATTTATAAAATGTACTCCTTCCGTCTCAATATTATTGTTCACAGATAAAAAAAATATACGGATTAAAAAAACATTAATTACCATTAACTTTATATAATAAAATGATAGTTTTGTCCTTATTTTGTATTTAATGTTCCATTAAATTCTATTTTTTTTCATTTGTTTAAAGTTATCTGTTATTTTTTAATTTAAGCTTTTAGAAAATGCAGAATATCACATTTTTATTATATTTCATTTTTTCTTGTAACCCCTTCTACCATCATATATTTCTTATATTTGTTTTGAAGTGTCCACCATAACAAATCGATGCGACCGTAATACATAAAAATCAAGAAACATTGAGAAAAATGTGGGCCAACAATGTTAGTATATATCATGTCCAACCACCAACTACTTACTGATAACTAGCCATATCTTTTTTTTGTGAATTCCATGAACACCATACAACAACCAACGTGCTCTTCCTCCGACAACCACATATAATCAACGCCAAACCAAATTTGAATCAAGTCATAAAAACATAAACTAAAACATGGAAAAACTAGAAACCTCAAAATTAAACCACAAATGTGAAAACCCATACCATAAAATCAAATAATAAACAAATCAGAAAATGCAAAGCTCAAATCCGAAAACTCACTTGTAGAATTCAAGACCGATGAAGTATAAATAGAGCAAATATATGCGTGAGGGTAAGAGATTGTGGGTTGTAAATGATCATAGATGAAGATAGAAGGTTCGCAAAAGGGAGTAGCCATCAATGGCGACTTCAGACCTCATTGGAAGTGGCGGTGACGGTGTCGAAAGATGTTGTCGGTGGTTGTGATGTAAGTAACCTCCAATGAGTGGGTTGTTTTAAGGTTTCTTCAAAGAGGTTAGAAAATATGGAAGAAGGGGGGAAGGTGGGGCTGGGTTTAAAGTAGGACATTATTGCTCCTTTTAAATTAATAATAATAGCTTAACATTAAATTAATTGGAAAATAAACATACAAAGGGCATTATGGTGATTTTAGATATGATATGGACTAAAACCGCAAAATCATTTGTTAAGGATGAAGCATTCAACTTTCAACAATTAAGGGACAATGCAACTCCATTTTTGAAAATAAGTATAAATGCATAATTTGACACATAAAACAAAGACGAAACGTGTAATTTAGTTCTATAACTCCAATGTAAATGCATTTAGTATCTATTGACTATTAGAGTATCCATAATGACGAGTTCAATGGGAGAGTTGAATGAGGTGGCAAGTCCATGTGTCATTCAATGGATGAAACTCTACCATTGTGAGATACCACCTTGGTATTCAATGAATTTGGAGTTCAATGGCCATTCAATTCTTTAATGGAAAAAAAGAAAGTTTTAATTCTTAAATATGTACTATAAGTTACATTTTATAACATTCTATTAAACTTTGTAAAGTTTAATGCATTGTAAAGAAAAATATATAGAGTTGTATGGATTGTAGAATGATGATGTGACAATCCATTAAACTCTATGGAGTTCAATACATTGTGGATGCCCTTACTCTAATATTCTTGATTTATAAATGCAGAATAACCTAAAACATTCGAAAAAGTATGTGATTAACATATGTTTAAAATCGTAGTACTTCAATCACATGTGATTTGAATCTGTTATAAACATTGTAAGCTTAGGTATTATACAACAATTCATTGATAAATTCATAATCTCCATTTCTGAATTTAACTTTTAAACAATGGAGAGAATATATATAATGTTGTAAATAATGGTAATATACTAATAATGGATAAGGCCAAAGAGATTTTGGGGGATTTTTTCTCCGGTGATGAGGTAAAAAGGGAAAAGAGAATGTCCAAGAAAGGGAGTAACTGTGGCCACAACTTCACGATGCAAGACTTAAACGGTGTTGCCATGGCCACCACTTCTTGAATGTGCATGGGGAAAAACCAACACAAAAACTCCGGAGAAGAAGTGAAAAGAGGACGGAGATTGAAGCAAAACTAAAACGAAAATAACTTCAATCAATTTCTCCGACATTCCCTTCCTTTTAAAGGATATTCCGATGAAAAGGGAATACAAGAGATAATAAAAAGTTGTTAACTGAGTCTAGTTTTTGTATATTTATTTTTTAGTATGGAAACATGGGTCGTAATCAACATTACTATTATTTGGTAAATAGTTTTTCAAATACAATCAAAGGGTAATTATTTTTTCATGGATGCCATATTTTGGTTAAAAACTCAGCAAATAAGTATCTTGTTATCTTGAAGCATCCACGTAACCAGCTTATCATTCATGCACGTGACCTTATTTAAGCTCATAAACACCTCATAAATCCACCTTGCCACTCACGCCACAACCAAACCCACGTCACACTTTCCTTTTTAATGTTTTTTGTGGATAATTTTCATTATCATGCACCTGACATATCCCTATATAACCGCCATGTTCAATTCTCACGCTCAAAAATATGAATCCCACCACCTTTTCTGGTTAATTTATAAAACCTTAAGATGTAATATTCTTGCACTCTACCGCAAGTTAATTAAACCACCTCATACCCTCATATACGCTACATAACTAAACCCTTTGCAAAACTTAAACATTCTCATCCCACATTGCCAAAGGATGAAACCCAACCCGTCCACTCAATCTATAAATACCTCATTAATCAACCACTTTCAAGGCATCTTTTAATATCTCCAAAAAAATATATTCATTAACAACGATATTTGGTATTAGTTTTGGTTTTATGAACGATATTTGATTCATTTCAAACATTTTAAAGTTTTTGTTTTGCATTACCTAAATTCCTTATTAGTCTGGTTGTTAGATTTTAATTGCAATAGTGGTGTGTAGAATATTCAACTTCGGCCTGGATGTTAGATTTTACAAAAGGTTATATATGAACTGATGTTGTTTTAATGCTAAGCCATTGAAAGGCGTAAAACTTGATCATTGCTGGCTACAATTTGGGTAAATTCATCTAATGAACTTGATCATTGATGTCTAGCAGTGGTAGTCAAACTAACCTTCACAAATGAACAAGAATTGAAGAACACGAACGTTTTTATCCGACGCAGATTTTTTTTAATCTGATCATGATGCGTATAAGCTCCACCAATAGCTCGTTGTCTATGACTTATCTTGTCGTGAATAAATATGGAAGCAACATAAAAGATAGGCTCGCCATGTGGGTAGCTCAATGTGAATGAAAGAACGTAGGAACAAAAACTAAAGACGCAAATATTTGTTGTTGTAGTTTTTCGTTTTAATTTTTACACACTTATGTTTCTTTATGATTCTCTGTTTCATTTTCATTAGATAGATTAGGCAAGGGAAGTGTATAGCCAGTATTTGTTGGCATTCGGCCAGGATTTGTATATGCTATGCATAAAGAATGACAGTCATATCTTACCATGGAGTTGAAAACGATCATGAATGTGCATTGGGTTTCAAAAAGGACTGAAACCATAATGCACAACACTCTACAAATCGTGGCTGAAATCCAGCAAACATCGGCTCTACTCTTCCTCTGTGTAATCTTTCTAATGATAAAGAAATAGGCAATCTAAGTAAACAAGTGCGCCTAAACAATAAAATTAAAAAAGTAGAAGAACAAAGATATGAATCTCGTGTTTGTATTCCTATTCCTACGTTCTTTAATTTACAGCCAGGAAAAACTATTTACAAACGAGCTACGTTCTTTAATTTCCATATTGTGTTTCTGATGATGGTAAATGTTCTACCACTTTCAAATCTTGCTCCATAATGCCATTGCCAAAGGACAATCAAAGAATCAATGGTCCACTATTTCCTTGGATCTAGCAAGACAGGGAAAAGAACACATATGTGGGGAAAAAGCACAGACAATTTTATCAGACTTTGAAGAACCAAAAGACATGAGAATCTGGAGCTCCATGCATCAATCACACTCATGGCTCTATTAGAAAAAATAGAGTCTTCAAACCATAGTCGTTTAACTTTTAGTATATTTAAAAGAAAATATTGTTATTCCATTAGTAATATATGAAAGCTTAACTATTAGTCCTCGTAATATTTAATCCATATATAATATATGAGAAATGACAATTAATCAAAACACTAATGAATGAATATGAAGAAAGCGCATAGCTTCGATCTTATTGGCAATCTCCCCGCATCCTTGCTAATGAATGAAGACACCAAATATTTGGGAGGCCTAACCATTGCTTTGGGGTCTGGCAACTCGATGGAAGCTAGAGAGTTCCTGGAAGATCCAACACCATTTGACAAAGTTGAAGAAGAATCAGATGATGATGACGAGGTGGGTTTGTCAGAGGATGAATCGGAAGATGAAGAGGATGTAGAAGGTGTATCTGATACATTGATGGGAGAGGTTAATGTTGACGTAGAAGAAGGGGAGATTATACCGAAAAAAGTAGACTTAACGGAGAGGGTGGGACGAAACATCAACACCGGTGAAATCTCAGACAGAGTGCCATGGGAATCAAGATACCGGAAAAGCGAATCAAGAGTGTCGGAAAGCTTCATCGCCGGTGGTCATAGGGAACACATTTAAAATTAATGTAGAAGTTAATAACGATGAGTCTTGAAGTAGAAAACAATATTAATGGAACTAGGGAACACAACTTCTAGACCACACGAAGGTTAATGTAAACGAATGTTGGGACTCTTCTGAGTTTGATTGTGAAGGTGTGTAGATGCGAGTGGTAGATCTGGTGGTCTGTTATCAGTTTGGGACACGAAATACTTTCATAAGACTGAAGTCTTAAAGAGTCGATATTACATGATTATTGTTGGTAAATGGACAGGAATTGCAGGAAATACAATATTTACTAATATATATATGGTCCTCATACACCCGCTGAAAAGAAAGAGTTATGGAGAGACTTCCTACGTATCAACTATCAAACGTGAGAAAACTGGAAGATGGTTAATCTTTGATGATTTTAATGAAGTTCGATGGAAGGAAGAGCGATACATTCGACAATCGGAGATTAAAGATTTTCAAATGGGTGGCGAGAGATTCACATACATGAGTAGAGTTGATGCCAAACTCAGTAAACTTGATAGATTCTTGGCATGTGCTAACTTCTTGAACTCCTCTCCATTTTTAACTGCTACTGCTCATCCTAGAGAAATTTCAGACCATTGCCCAATTACCCTCTCCTCTGATTGGGGTGATTTTGGTTCTTCTTACTTGAAAATTTTCAACTCATATCAAGTTGTACAAAATGCATGGGCAAGTGGTCCATGGATACGGCAGTGCTGATATCTAAAGGATGAAATAAGAAAATGGAGAAATAAAGAACACAAGAAGGAGAATGAGGAGTTAATCATTACTAAAGAATTATTGGGTAATCTAGAAAAACTGGCAGAATCTCAAGCTCTCAGTCTCATGAACTGCAAATCAGAAGCAACGATATTCAAAAACTACTGGAGCTTGAGAAAAGGAATGTGATGGACATGAAGCAAAAATCAAAGATAAGATGGGTTGTAGACAGAGATGAAAACTCGAAATTCTTTCATGGTTATGTTAGTAACACCAAAAGGAAAAACAGAATTGTGGGTCTATCAATAAATGGAAGATGGTCGACGGGTGTAAACAATATCAAAAGCGAAGCCTTTCGTTTTTTCCAGAACAATGGATTTCTAGACCAACACTTGTTAGCCCCAACATCAGATCTATTGATATGATGGATGCAATCAGGTTAGAAGCCCCCATTCTCAGTTGAAGAAGTTAATAAAGTAGTTTGGGCCTGTGGTGGAGAAAAAGCCCCAGGACCAACTTTCAAATTTCTGAAGAAATATTGGACTATTTTTTCTGATGATGTGATGAATTTCGTAAAGCATTTGATGAGTTTGGTACTCTTGGAAGAGGCTGCAACTCCTCTTATATAAGTATAACCCTTGCCCCAAAAGTTAAAGACCCTTCTACTCTAAATGATTATAGACCTATCAGCATCATTGGGTATATGTATAAAATAATCTCAAAATTGCTTGCTACCAGAATAAAAACAGTTGTGAGTAAGGTAGTGGGTGAGGCGCAATCAGCTTATGTGCAGGGGCAATGTAAACTCGATGGACCGTTGATTGTAAACAAGCTATGTGGATGGGCAAAAAGTATAAAACAAAACATTATGCTCTTTAAAGTGGACTTTGACAAAACATTTGATTCCATCAACTGGGAATACTTGGATTCGATTCTATCCCAAATGGGGTTCGGTGTAAAATGGTGGTCGTGGATTCGCAGTTCCTTAGCTTCTACCAGAACTTCGGTGGCTATAAACGGTTTGCTAACTAAACAGTTTAGCATCTCGAAAGGGGTTAGACAAGGGGATTCCACTTTCCCCCTTCGTATTTATAATGTTGTAATGAAGATGGCTACCGATAAAGGCATTTTCAAAGGGTGTCAATTATCGAGGGATGGTCCGATAATCTCTCATCTATTCTATGCAGATGACACATTATTTGTAGGAGATTGGTCAAGGAATGATCTAAAAAATCTTGCATCCATACTTAGGGGCTTCCATGTATCCTCCGGATTGAAAGTAAACTTCCATAAATCCAAGGTATTTGGTGTTGGTGTGTCAAATGAGGAAATCTTAAAGGAGTGCAACTTTTAGGATGTCAAGCAAGCTCCCTTCCATTTTCATATCTCGGTGTGCCAATTGGTGCAAACATGAAAACTAATAAAGAATTGGAGACCAATCATAGACAAGTTTCAAGCCAAACTATCTAGATGGAAATCCAAAACGTTTTCTTTTGGGGGGAGATGCACTATTGGGTAATCTTCCAACATATTACATGTCGTTGTTTAGAGCCCCAATTGGTGTCATAGAAAAACTTGAAAAGATTTGTCGGAAGTTCTTATGAGGTGGAAGTGAAGAAAAGAACAAAATTTATTGGGTTGCTTGGGATAAAGTTGTTGCTCCTAAGGATCTTGGTGGGCTGGGCGTTGGATCAATTAGAGCATTGTACGTGGCATTATAAGTGAAGTGGTGGTGGAGAATCAAATAGGAATCATTCTCCTTATGGGCCAAAGCCATTGTTTGTCTGCACAATCTGAAAAACAATCAGCTGATCATTTAGCAAAAAAAAAAGGTTGTTGGAACAACATTTTTGCTATGAAAAAAGATATTGAGGCGATGGGATTTCAATTTAATGATTTATTCAGACAAACAATAAAGGTTGGCAATGACACACACTTTTGGAACTACACATAGGCAGGTGTCCTTTCACTTCTGGAACTACACATAAGCAGTGTGGATGCCACGAATCATGTACTGGTAAACTGTCTTTTCACTGTCACCGTACACAAAAGCTTATTCGGTTGGTGTGGTATTATTCCCATAAATGTCCAGAATATAAAGGAGTTGATACAATATGCAACAAATTGAGATGGAGAGAGAGACTAAATGTAATATGTTAAGGGATGTTCTGGGGTCTTTGGAGAGCTAAATATGCTCGTATATTCCAGGCAAGATTCACTAATCCAAGGGGCATGGTTGACAACATCAAGGCGATGGTCTACATGTGGATAAAGTGTAGAGGCAATAGTGATATTTGTAATTGGGTTGAATTATGTTCTGATCCATTTTTGTTTTAATCTCTCTTATTTTCTATTTTTCTTGTATGTTTGACCTATGCTCCCCTATAGTTGTTATTTTGGGTGAGTTTTTTTTTAATAAAAATTGGTTGTTTAAAAAAAAAAAAAATTAGGGTTTGATTCTTTTACCGACCATTTTGAAAGATCCACTAAAATTATAAATATACGATAATGCCCTCATTTAAATTTAAATTTGTATTGTTTTTCTATTTTGATATCTAATTATTTACTAGACCAATTACACCAAAAAAAACATTTCGTGATACTTTATACTTTAATATCCTTTTTTCCTCTTTGCTCCTTATTTAAACCATCATATTTTATTTTATTTTAACATTTCACCTTTCATTTTACTACTTATTATTCTTTTCCTTTTTTGGTTATTTTTTTATATTACAAGTCCTTTTTTTAAAGAGATTATGATTCTTGTAAATATTGACGGTTATGATTTTGTTTATTCCCAATATCAAAAAAATATATTAATTTCTTGATTAAGATTAGGTATGTTATTCTACCATTTTAATCGATTACCAGTTTGTTCCATTTGGTTTGATTGATTTTTTGACTTCGAATATATTAATTGTACTTGCATCAGTTTTTAAGTTATGAAAACCTTTTATGTTTAGCTTGTATTCCCCCCTTGAAAACATGAAAAACTCGAAAAAGTGTAGGGGTATGAACTCACAGTTTAACGTAGGATTCGAGTGTACGACCGATATGAGTGTTGAGTGTCAACGGATGTTCTGAGCGCAAGTGGACCCTATTAATCATATGGTAACACATATATGTATTAGAATAGGGTATTTCATGACTAATCATGACGGGAAACCACGCTAGGGTCTTGCAAAAGTTTGTACTAAGTGTTCTAGGTTCCGCACGTAGTGACCCTTGCAAGTTTAAGGCCAAATACGAGCATTAGAGTGGGTGTATGGCCATGAAGTGAGTGTGTGGCCAGACTTGTGTGTGCGGCTGCACATAGGAGTGTGCGACCGTACAGGGGGTGTGTGCAGCCGTACACAGGAGTGTACGACCATACACTTCTTGTCTGAGCCCGTCATGTCGAATTTTGAGATATTTCAAGTTCCAAACCATGTCATAATTCGAATACAGGGGCCTTACTCTTACTTTGGAGGGTATTTGAGGTGTGTGCGGTCACCTTATGAAGGTGTGCGACTGCACCCCTTCAAAGGATGAAGAACATGAAAAACACTATAAGTTTTAGGCTTAGATTTAGGTCTCTTACCACTATAACAAGCTGAATGGTGAAGTAGTTCACGTTTTTTAGGCCCTAAGAATGTTCTTGGATAAAGTTTTTAGAGAGAGAAAGTAGAGAGAGTAGTGTGCAACCAAAGAAGAAAAACTAACTGAAAAGGGGTTCTCTACTATATATTGGGTTAGGTGTGTGGCTGGGGGGGTGTGTGCGGCTGGGTGTGCAGCTGGCTGGCCACACACTCAGGTGTGCGGCCGCACACACCTTCCTTGGTGTGATTGGCTCAATTTTGTGATGCTACACACTTTCTAACCCTTCTTAAGACTCATATCTATGATATACTAAGCCTAAAGCACTCATATGGACCCAAAATTTCACTAAGATATGATAAATTCAAGTGTAATATTGATATATGGATCGATTGTACAGGATAAAAGTTTCGGGTTGTCACATCATCCCCCCGTTAGAGGAAATTTTGTCCCGAAATTCAAGAATATGGATACAAATCATGGATTTGGAAAAAAGATGAGGGTACTTATGTTTCATTGAATCCTCGCGCTCCCAAGTGAATTCAAGTCCCTGCTTAGCATGCCAGCGAACCTTCACTATCGGGATGCGACTTTGTTTCGTTCGTTTGACCTCCCGATCCATGATTTCGATTGGTTCTTCCACGAAGTTCAGATTTTCGTTGATTTCGATTTCGTCAAGAGGGACCACAAGAGTTTCATCGGATAAGCAC